ACCCAATATGAACCGATACTAGAAAAGAGCCTTGTTACAAAGTGTCCAACTGCAGGTAACTACAAAATAGCCAACAAACAAAATCAATCAATCAATCAAAATGTGTATTTCAAAACCGTACAGCATGTCACAGTACAACAAAAGGGTTGGATAAAGCAAATATATACATTTTTAAGCCCCCTCACCCATCCAATTATATAAAATAATTTCAATTTTGGCAGCAATATCTGATACCAATTTGGTGTTGATGGATTTTGTTTATTTATTTCAGACCTCATGGGACCAGACTCAAAGGTTCAAGGAAAAACTGAGAAGTAACTTTATTCAACAACCAAACACTGTACACCCAGCACACCAATGAGACCAGTATACAACATGTAGTGCCCAAACTCACTTCTATTCATCTTCAACATTCAACCCAAAGCAGAAGAAATAAGCACAAATCCGACAAAAATAACGGAAACATTACTGCGTATGTGTGTATATGAAGCCATGTTTGCCAGCACACGACACAGATCTCAGCAGTCGGCTTGTCTCCAGGGATCATTTTGAAACCTTTTTTGTTGCCAACATAACCCCAGCTCATTAATTCAGCTTCCCACCACCAGGGAGCAGCGTATTTTCTCCCCAATCAAAACTAGCGTGACATCCCGCTAACATTCTTTGCTTTTCTCCTCTGTCCTCATCATGCTAAACCTCAATTAATTATCAATTCGATGGCCGCCGGGGTCAAGAAGACAAGGGTCAGTTGGAAAGATCGGGCGTCCACTTTGGATGATTTGCGGTTGTTTTTGTGCGTGGATCTATTGGAGGAGAGGGGTTTTGTATCCCGCTAATGTGCAACAAATAACAAGCGTGGATCAATGGGGAGACATAGATGCGTCTAAGCAAACCAGCGCGAGGGCTAATAAATGTGATATGTTAGCTTGCACTGGCGGGAATGCTCCGTAATAAAGCATTATGGATGAACAATGGTCTGTTATATATGCAAGGACGCCAGAAAGTCATTATTGGGATAGGGCTGCACAAGAAGCATGAAGTCAGGTTTAGTGTGCCTTTCTTCTGACTTAACTATGCGTTTATGTGTATAGACCTAATACTAAAAGTTCCAGTATGTTACTTTGAAGAGGAAATATTTTGATATTTTTGTCCATTTTTATCCATTTCCAAAACATGAAATGAGTATCTTGAATTTAGTATAATGGGGTAAAAAAAAAAAAAAACCATGTCAACATAGAAAAACATAAAAATTCTACTCCTCCCAACAAAACAATTCACCGTAATGAAATTTCACATGCAAAATTGACAAAACAAAATTATGGACATTACTTTTGTTTTTAAAAGTAGAAAACTGCTCTTAGTATGACATTGTACCACTATCGCACCACACTATTACAGGACTGAGGCAGGAGATTTTCTAAGTATTCATCTTTATAGAGCTCCTTTCACAGATAGTCACAAAGAGCTTTCTAATGTTGTGTGTATTTTTCCCACTCCACACAGTGATGGAAGGGGGGTCGCCATGTACGCAAGACCTATTGTACTTGTTTTTGGTGGTAAGAGAAACCAAAGCGGACACAGGGTAAACACGCAAACTCAAACAGAAAGGTTGCATCTTGAAGTAAAATCGAACCCAGCAACAGAAGGGACAGAATTATGTTTGAACTAGATATTGGAGGTTTGTGACTGATGAGGAACAATGTAGAAACATGGTTAATATTAATTATCAAAAAAATCTCGAAAAGACCTTGTTTCCTCTTTTTAGCGTTTTTTTAATAAAATACAATAAAATACTTTATTGTGTGGGTATTGGTCACTTACAACTCCACAAACTTGGGGGAGTTTTGTTTCAAAATATGGCATAAACTAAATATCTTTATGGGTAATGTTTCAACTATCCTGCCTCCATAAAAATAGAGTCTGTCATCGCACTCTCTTGCTTTGTTTGGGAAGTTTCTTTTGTTTAAAAAAAAAAAATGCAAAAATTCTCCAGAGACCAGTAGTTCTAAACCATAAAAGTGAACACCAATAATACTGTACATTAAATTTTTCCGTCATCATAGACTGGCTACCAAGAACAAAAGGTGTGTTTCCTTCATACTTGGTCAATTTAGCTGGAATCCAAATTTTATTGGAAACGTATAATTAAAATACAAAACATAGCGAGACACCTGCCTTCGATTGGGCCATGACAGCAAAAGAAGGTGTGACCTATTGACCAACATTTGGTTTTTGTTCGCTCGCAACTCGCTAATTAAATGATTACAGTGTTGTTCCCATCTGGCATTTGGGCACAGCGCCATTGTAATCCACCTACCTAATCTGCTATCAGTAAACACACATTGACAATTACAGTAGCTAACCAAATATCCAACAGCGAAACTACTAACCACTAGTTGCTAGCAGAGACTCTCGGGACCGCCTCAGGACCGGTATCGATCGGTTGGAAATTACAGCAATCCACCATGATGACGATGAAGAGAGCGAGAGGGTGGCCAGGTCGGACCGATCGTGCCACTTTCAGTAAATGCTCTTTAAGGACATAATGGAATCGGCCAATGAAAGCCATCCATTCTAGAGACGGCGGCTTTACGGACTCAAGCGTATCTTTGGGCAGTCAGTGCGGTGAGGGACCCAATCATGGACGTGCTTGATATTTCTGTCCTCACATAATTGCTCTACTTCTTCTTCGATGGTGAAGTTACAAAGTTGTAAAAGGAATTGCAGTTTGGGTTGAGGAGTTGAGAATGGTGGAAAAGGTTTGAAAGTATTAGTGCAAGCTGCATAACTTTGTTCAAAAAAGAAGAAAGTTTTAAGAAAAGGTTGAAGCTTAAGGCATGAATAAGTAGCTCCCAACAGCATAAGTTGTTGGATCATGATTAATCGCATGAATGTCATAGTAAAGTCGCGATTAATCCCCATTTTTCATCTATTCTTTATGTCCCTTGAATTATCATTTTAGTACTCTTATCAACATGGAAAAGTGTTTTATTTTACTGTATTGATAACTTGTATTGTTTTCACACTCACACTTGATACAAAAGGTCATACAATTCAATACTGTCAATAAACAAATTTATAACATGTATAATTGGTAACAAAAAAGCCCCTTCAACCACTCTTTCTACAGGGATCAAAACCAGGTGATACAAAATAAAGTATCAAAGTTTGTTCTTAGTTTCGTTTTTTGGCAGACGTGTGAGTGAACTTATTAATGTAACTATGTGGAACAGTTTGGGAGCAGTTTGTCCATAACATGTGCTATACAAATAGATTGGATTCTCACATTCCGTAAAATGAGATGAATATCAGATTTTATACATTGTTTGCATCTTGAAAAACACATCTAATTAGTTCAATATGGGCCAGATGGCAATGCACTTAACCCTATCTCTTTTGCAGACTTGAGCAGGTGCAGCCAGTTACATGTGTAAGATAAAAAAAATTGTTCTTGACAGCTTTATGTGCAAGCTACGTTGATTTACGGGTCGGGTTCTAAAAGAAAAATCAACTGGACACTGTTTATGAGATTACGTATGAACAACCATGCTATATAAACCGGCATCAGTGCAACTTTTCCCACTTCGGTTTTTAAAATGGTGGAGGATATTTGACAAAAGTAGGATGTGAACTCTATAGGGTTCTCAAAAAATTACAGAAGTTGAAGTCCTGATCAGATGGAAATGGCTAGTTAAACTGAAGGCCTTTTATTCAGAAAACTTTTTTTTTTCAGCCACATGTATCTCTCCACATTTCAGCTATCAAAGGATATTCAATGCTAATAAGTACATCCTTCATGAAAGCTTAGCAATATCATGCAATTCAAGTATTCATAGAATATAGATGTATAAGGGCCACTTGAAACACTGCAGATAGAGGAGACATGAGATCAGCTAAGTGAATGCAGATGAAAAATGGACCAATACCAATTTCTCACAGTGAAACAGCGATAAAACACCCATTCGCCTTCATTACAACAGCGCACTGAAGTTGGAGGGTTGAAGAACGAGCCGGCAGTCTTCCTTCAAACTGAAAGGTCACAGTTCGGCTTCCAGAGGCTGCAGTTCTGCGAGTATGCTGCAAACACAGTCTTCCACTGAGAGAGCTGGGGTGGCTCGCAGACATGCCCAGAATGGACCCAGGTCGTATGGGTGCATTTTAACATTGCTCTGCTTTTAGAAATTCTGGTTTTCTTTCCATGATGTGTTTGGTTTGTTATTTTGAAGATTTTGTTTGGTGGACCTCAGGGTTGTTAGTTGGCCCTTTGACTCCTCTCTACGTCCGCGCACTAACTTCTCTCCGGAGACTTCTCTCTCGCTCACTTCCGTCAATAGAAGCAGCGTGACTTGTAGTACGGAGAGAAGTTAGTGCGCGGACGTAGCGCTCCTCAGATTACTACGCCTCACAATATAGTACCCGTTTTATCCGCTGAGAAAATCGACAGTTACATTTCTGTGTTACTATACTTTGCAGTGTAACACGTCACGTAACTATATACATTTAATAGGGAACACTTGGAAGAGTTTGGTAGCTTCTAGCGGGAGCTACCTTTTGGGTACTATACAGTATACAGAGGAGGCTGCGTTTGTGCTCCCGTTTTTGCTCCGTTTGCATGACAGAGCGCACGGACTAAGACCAGACAGGTACATATTAACTAGTCTAAGGTAAGGTAAGAACATTTGTCAGTATGTAAAAACGGTGAACTATTCCTTTAAGATGTGAACCCTGCTACTGCTACTGTTCACTGATTTCATATTGAAGCCACAGAAAATGTTTTTTCAAACTTGTTGGGATGTCAGGATTATAGGTTAGAGTGGGATTGCTTCATTTTACTCCTTTTAAGTGAGTAACTTTGATATGCAGTGAATATTTAAAGAGCCAACGAGTTTCGAAATTCACCTTTGAGCATCTTTTCTCACTAGTTTTGATCCAGTCTTTGGAATTCACTATTTGAACCGCTCTTGAAAAATACATCTACTGGACAGGATTATTCCTCATACCTGGAGAATTGCTGCTGTAGAGACACCATGTGGGCCCGTCCCAGCTCGGACTCCTCGGTCACCTCCCGTACACGTTTTTCGCTTTCCAGTCGCAGGCGGCGCTCTTCCTCTAGCTCGTGGATCAACTTCTCACGCTGCAAAAACACAGAAAACACAAAGACATGTGAGAAGTTAGAAGTCCAGGACTCCCTTGAAAAAGAGGTTCTTAATCTCAATGGGACTTTCCTGGTTAAATAAATGTGAAATAAAAAATAAAGAATGACGCCAAAATTTACACCAAATGATTTGGCTTGCCTTTCCTATTCCGTCTGCATCTAACTTCTTCTAATAATGTGAACAAAAGATTATCGTAAGGAGATTGTTTGATTTTGGCATTGAGTTGTTTTTGAGTCAGTTTCAGCTGGTGGTGAGTCGTGTGATTGTTTTTTAAGGGAAAGGATGTGCCACGACACTGGTCTATCAATTCGCTTTCATATCTTCCAACTTGCAAGTTATATGAACTTGTTTGTACGATTCGATGTATGAATAAAGTTGGTTTTCATTGCAGATGATTATGTATGTTTGGCACGGGCTGAAATAGAATATCAGATATCCCGAGCAACAGTTGAGTGTGAGTTCATAGGGTTAGAACAATCACCTCGGGTCAAACCTCTACGACCTTTAGAACCTTCAGGACCTGGCCCACGCTGAACTTTGATCCTCGAAACCGAATACAGAAGTTAGTTTAGCCAACACAGCCGTATTTTACTAGCCAAAGCAAATATAGGGAAGGGCATCATGACATTTACAGAGCCCAGGGGAATTGCATCCTGGAGTTTGTTGCTTCTTTGATAAGTCTATAATGAACGTCTATTACCTGTGTTGCCATGACACAAAAGTTCACAGTAAATGTCGTCGCCAAGGCTGGTCCACACCTTGGTCTTATCTAATTTGATCTTGGGATGTTTACAACTTAGGAATCTTTTCACTTTTACATTTTACAGTTTTTTTTAGATCCAACTAAACACTGAATGTTGTTTTAAATTGTACAAGTAAATGTATTTCAAAAAGCATCTTCGAAAAACTGCTTTATCCTTTTTGAAACCTTTCATCACTCGCTCAGCAGGCAGCCCTCAAAAGCAATCGCTGCAAACTCCATTCTTTTCAAACTTGTCCAATATCACAGCTTACTGCTCAACTGCCCACTTTTATTCCAACTTGTGTGCCAAAGCTCCACATTAACCTCCTCATCCTCACGAGGACCTCTTCAAACTCCGCTCTTGGCCAACCGTTTTATCACCTTCTCCTCCAATCCCAAAACGATTCTCATTTTCCAGCTTTTATAATTGGATTCTTCCGTGCCCCTCACAGGAGAAAGAGCCATCCTTCTCGCTTCCAACCCCCTGGTTCGGAGCTTTTGAACCCAGCTCTGGCGCACGCTCTCCTGGCATCGCTTCAGAGTCTTTCCCCTCAAGCACAATAGCGCAGAGGAGGAAAAATAAAGGTTTGGAATTTTAGCTGACAGAGCAAGAAGTGTTTCCGGTTGAGATGACAGTTTTCTGACAAACCTGCAGTTTCGGAGATTGAGAAATAAAACCGCTTTCAGGAGTTGAAGAAAGTTGTCAAGAATTGCTTCGGGTGCAAAAGATGTGTAGGAGGAAAATGCAAACCAGCTCTTGTAAATGATACCGAATGTCAAAGTCCTTTGGCTAAATGCACTTTGTTTGTTAAGTTTGTGATGAAAAGGCAATGCTAAGGACTCGTGTTGCGTTTGTCGATCTTGGGCATACATTCTTGCCTGTTTGGAAATGCTTGATGAAACAATTTCATTAAGTAATACGGCAAAATGCAACTTACAGCATCAACTTCTGCTGACCAAAGAGCTTCACATTAATAGCAATATCAATAAAAAAGGACAGCCGATAAAAGTTAATGGCAGAGTCAGTATAGAGGACGATAAAAATGCATTAACGCGCACAAAAGAGTAGGAAGACATTTTGTTTAGAAATGATTTACAGCTAAAATGACGCCTCTCCTGACCTCTCAAACAAGGTATAATGTGTGTGTGTTAGAGGATTAACACACGCAGCCGATATACAGTACTACACTATGGGACCACTTAATGTAGCAACTGTAAATATTGTTTTACTTTTCTTATTTTTTTACCTTTTTTTGTTTTCGACAGCTCTCCATATTAACTTTGTTTTGTGTTTATGTCTGTTTCATAATTTTATTTTTTATTTTATTTTATTGAAAGTTTTTAACAGCTTTTTTTACACTTCCAAAGACAAATAATAAGAGATACATTGTCATAATTCGCTTCACCTGAAATATCTTTGCACTTAGACATGGGCTTTGTACAAGTTTTCCAAAAAGTGTAAAAACATAAATAATAAATAAAATACCAAAATACCAAAATTGACAAATTGACATCTTTCTTACACATATATACGTATAACCGCATCTGTTTCACAAATTTATGGAAAAGAAATAGTTTACCTGATTTTTACAATAGTTTGTTTGTTTTGTTTGTTTGTTTATTTATTCATTTCAGGCATTTCACATGAGGCAGCAGTCACCTCTTGTTCATCATAGTTTCCAACAAAAAATAAAAATAAGTAAAGCATTGCTAACATGCATGAAAATAAAATAAAAAAAATAAACCAAAATATTTGCCTGAAAGGGAGTAGGAAGAAGAAAACTTATTTAATCCTACCCCCATAATATGTATACAACAAAAATGTGCTTCTTTGCGAGACAGGGCTATCAACAACTTTCGACTTCTGCACTATATTAACACAGAAAGGTTTGAGTATTCACATTGTGGGGTTACTATAGTAACGCATCAGAGTTACATATGACAACAGTAATACAGGACTAACAATGGTAAGAGACAATACAAGCAATGGTAAGAGACAATACCAGCAATGGTTAGAGACAATACCAGCAATGGTAACAGACAATACCAGCAATGGTAAGAGACAATACACGCAATCGTAAGGGACAATACCAGCAATGGTAAGCGACAATAGCAGCAATGGTAACAGACAATACCAGCAATGGTAAGGAATGACAAATACATGACACAAACACAATACAGAAGTACAGAACAATTAAGACCCACTCTCTATATATTGTGACCAGACCAGATGTTTGTATAATAGTTTGAATCTGTGAATATTTTGGCATTGCTTGTGGTGTGCATCCAGACTGTTCCATAGTTTCACACCTCGTACAGATACACAAAAGCTTTTACGAGTAGTTCGAATTTTAGGTAGTGTGAAGTCTCCAAATCCTCTCAGATTATGGGCTTTTTCCCAAATTGAGAAAAGGTGTTGTAGATTAATAGGTAATGATTTGGTAAAAGCTTTATATAGGATTATAGTTGTATTGTATTTTACAAGATCATTAAATTTTAGTAACTTAGACTGGATAAACAATTCATGAGTGTGATCTAGAAACCCAACTTTGTGAATTATACGCACTGCTCGTTTCTGCAACAAGACTAATGGGTTTATAGTGTTCTGGTACGTGTTTCCCCACACTTCAACACAATAGTTAAAGTATGGGAGAACCAACGTACAGTATAATGTACGGAGTAAATTGAGATCGAGGTACAGTTTTACTTTATTTAGAATTGAAAGGCTTTTGGAGATTTTAGTTTTTATGTATCTGACGTGAGGTTTCCAGGACAATTTATTGTCGATTATAATTCCCAAGAATTTATTTTCATTCACATTTTCAATTTCGATACCGTCGATAAAGATTTTTGTGTCTGAATTAAATCTTAGGCTGCCAAACATCATTGATTTGGTTTTTTCTATATTGAGGGATAGTTTGTTCATGTCCATCCACTTTTTAATTATATTCAGTTCCTTGTTCACAGTATTCACCATTTCATCGTAATCATTGCTACAGTAAAATATATTTGTGTCATCTGCAAAAAGAATAAGTTTTAATACTCGAGATACATAAAAAATGTCATTTATATACACATTAAATAATTTGGGTCCTAGCACGGACCCCTGGGGCACACCACAAGCAATGCCAAGTTCTCCAGATATGTAATGCCCCATTTTAACATACTGTATCCTTCCAGTCAAGTAACTTTTCAGCCAATCCCCAGCTACCCCACGAATTCCATAATTCCCCATCTTTCTGAGTAGAATCGAGTGATTAATAGTATCAAAGGCTTTTTTGAGATCTATAAAGATACCCACTGCAAACTTTTTATGATCAAATGCATTTGTGATTTCCTCAATTGCTTCCATTATTGCCATTGATGTGGTTCTTTTGGCTCTGAAACCATATTGACCTTCATGTATTATCTGGTGTTTCTCAAGAAACTTTTCAAGCCGAGAGTTAAAAAGCTTTTCAAGAATTTTTGAAAATTGAGGCAATAAAGAGATTGGTCTATAGTTTGTGTAACTGTGTTTATTATTATTTTTGAAGAGTGGTACCACTTTTGCAATTTTCATTTTTTGTGGAAAACCACCAGACTGGAAGGATAAGTTGCAGATATAAGTTAGTGGTTTTATAATATTGAACACGACCTTCTTAACTACCATCATGCTGATATCATGACAGTCAGTAGATGTCTTGCTTTTACATTTTGAAACAATGCTCATTATCTCCAGCTCATCTGTAGCAGATAAGAAAAAAGACTGCGGATTCTGATTGATTGTTGAAAAACATTCCTCAGTTCTATAGTCTGGAATTCCAGCAGCTAACTCAGGCCCTACATTAACAAAAAAATTATTAAATTGATTAACTATATCATTCATATTGTAGTGTCTCCATTATTGTCAGTGAAGTAATCAGGATATGACGACTTTGATGATCCTTGTTTGATTAAACTATTCAGTGTATCCCAAGTTCCTCTTATATTGTTTGTATTTTCATATATCTTTTGTTTATAATACAACTGTTTGCTACTTCTTATGATGTCAGTTAATTTATTCCGGTAAGTCTTATATATTTGTTCCGCCTCTTTTGTTTTTACTTTGATGAACGATTTATAGAGATTATTTTTCTTTTTACAAGCATTTAGTATTCCTTTTGTAAGCCAAGGGCTTTGTTTGTGTTTTTTCTTTAAATAGTGTTGTTGAACAGGACAGTATTTGTTGTACAAGGAGAGAAATAAGTCGAGGAAGTTATCATAAGCAACATCCACATTTTGTTCGTTATAAACTGTATTCCAATCCTGGTCTGCTAGACTGTTGTTCAGATCATTTATTGTTTCTTCATTTATTATTCGTTTTGAGATTGTTTCTACATGGTCTTTGGTTCTCTTAATATCGTAGTCATACAAAGCAAAAACAGGCAAGTGGTCAGTAATGTCACAGATAAATAAGCCACTGATAATTTGACTCTCGATAATGTTAGTAAGGATGTTATCAATAATTGTAGCGCTATGTGAAGTTATTCTGCTAGGTTTGGTTATGGTTGGAAACAGAGACAATCTATACATTGTATCAATAAAGTCATCAATATGTTTTTGTTTGGTTGGATTTAATAGATCTATGTTAAAATCTCCACAAACAAAGATATTTTTTTGATTTATCTCAGAGAACATTTTTTCCATCCACTCATTGAAAAGGTCGATGCTTGAACCAGGTGCTCTATACACACAACTCACAATAACATTTTTCTTTCTCTCATTATGTATTTCTATTGTCAAACACTCCAATACTCCATCAATTACCAATGTCATATTTGTTAGGATATTATATTTGAGGGATTTGTGTACGTATAAGGCTACTCCACCGCCTGATTTATTTTCTCTATTCATATATTTTAGTTCATAGCCTTCAAGACAGAAATCTATACCTTTTTGCATATTGAACCACGTTTCAGTTAGTGCAATGATACTAAATGGCTGAGAAAAGTGTTGCAAGTACTCCTTGATAGACTCAAAATTTGTGTACATACTTCTGCTATTAAAATGTATAATTGAAAGTTTCCCATGTGAATCTACGTCTTTTATATATTTATCATGAGTAAAATATTTGCAACAGTTTACAATACCAGAGAAGAAATTATTATCAGGGTCAATGTCTGCATTCAAGTCCGTTATACTGTGCTCATGATATTCACACATTTCCAGTTCCATTTGTTTACGCTGGAGAATTGATGTTAACATGTCCATTTCATTACTTGGCATACTCTGTGGTGTATTGTTCATGATGAAGAGAGTCTCATACCTTTAATATATGTCCAAATCTTCCATTTTCTTCACCACCAACACTTTGGCAGCCTCTGGAGTCCCATTGAGTTTGATGAATATTTTACAGTTTGTTACCCACGTGTGTTGGATCTTGCCTTGTCGTTTGAGTTGTCTGGCTTTCCATGCAATATCCGAATTCCGCTTTGTCAGGTGTTCATTTATGAAAACTCTGGTGCCTTTGAGTTGTCTTCCTTGCCTCAGAAGTGCCACTTTGTTTTTTCTATTGGCAAACCTCATGATGATGGCTGGCGGTCTCTCGTTCCTCGTGGGCAGCGGGTGACAGGCCTCGATGTTATAATAATGATTATAATGATAATAATAATAATAATGATGATGATAATGATAATAATGATAATAATAATAAGGATAATAATAATAATAATAATAATAATAATAAGGATAATAATAATAATAAGTATAATAATAATAATAATGATAATGATAATAAAATAATAATAATAATGATAATAAAAATAAAAATAATAATAATAATAATAATAATAATGATAATAATAATAATGATAATTATAATAATAATAAGTATAATGATAATAATAATAATAATAATAATAATGATATTGATAATGATAATGATAATGATAATGATAATAATAATAATAATGCATTGGTTTTATATAGCGCTTTTTGGACACTCAAAGTCTCTTCACATGTGTCATTATTCATTCACTCCATACACGGTGGTGATAAACTACTACTGTAGCCACAGCTGCCCTGGGGCACACTGACAGAAGCGAGGCAACCAGTCTGTGCCATCGGCCCCTCCGACCACCACCAACCATTCACACACACACCAGACTCATTCTAGGCAATGGGGGTGAAGTGTCTTGCCTAAGGACACAACGGCAGTTTGGCACTTTACAGCCGCAGCCGCCCCACTGTGGCTGGTGTTCCCAGAGGTTAAGTGTCTTGCCAAGGACACAACGACAGTAGTCAGTGGGAGCTGATGGTGAAGGTCTTGAGCGGGGCTTGAACCCACGACCTGCTGGCTTAATAATAATAATAAGGATAATAATAATAATAAGAATAATGATAATGATGATAATAATAATAATAATAATGATAATAATAATAATAATAATAATAATGATAATGATGATAATAATAATAATAATAATAATAATAATAATGATAATAATAATGATAATAAGATGCTTCACATGTTCTTATTACTATTACTGTAGCCGCCCTGGGGCACACTGACAGAAGCGAGGCAACCAGTCTGTGCCCTCAGTCCCTCCCACCACCACCACCACACAGACAGACACAGACACAGACACAGACACACACTCACACACACACACACACACACACACACAGACTCATCCTGATCAATTGAATTAAACTGAATTACAGATAGTAAACTTCTAAGATCTCAGTGTTTACAGATGACTCCAGGTCAAACCTAAACTCTGCAGCCTCCACTCTTTAGTAAAACTTTTAATGTTCTCTCACTTTTCAGGTTTCAAATGAAACTACGGTAAGTGTAAAGTGTCAGGATTGGAAGTATTCTGAAAGAACTTTTAAATACAGTGTAGATTACCTTTGGAACAGACACATGGATCTGGAAATATCCTCGGAATCAAAAAACTAAAACAAGAGGAAAGACGTTGCAACCTTGGAAGAGCACAACTCTAACTTTATATAACAAATAGAATTCATAAATACAATATTTTTTGCAGCAGATCATATCAACTCTGATGTTCTCACTGATGGAAAGCCCTGACTCTGAGAGAAGTATTCATCAACCATATTGTTATTAGAATATATTCATCAACCATATTGTTATTAGAATATATTCATCAACCATATTGTTATTAGAATATATTCATCAACCATATTGTTATTAGAATATATTCATCAACCATATTGTTATTAGAATATATTCATCAACCATATTGTTAAGAAGGACATGTATTAGAATATTCTCAGAGAATTAAAAACTAATATAAATATCAGTTCTCACAGGTGTGTAACTGATTATCTGGGGTCTTGGGAAATAAATGGAAACTCATAATTAATACTGAAAAATACTTGTTTAGACTTGAACACTTCACTGAACAGAAGTTTGTCACACCTCACAGACTCACAAACCAGATTCTTTACAATCAAAATTCTAAATAATGTTATCCACAAAAAGATGCTCAAGATTTGGGGTCTGCAGGAATCAGACTCATGCGGCTTCTGCCAAACAGATGTTGAATCATCTGAGACTGATTCTGGTTCTGTCCTGTGGAGGCAGCATTTTGGGTTAATATGTATAAAATAATACAAATATAGACATTTAAACTGAATATTAAGTCATGTCACTTATAACATAAAGAAACTGTTTCACTTTTGATATTTAAGTCAAGTGAGAAAGATTTAAATACTGTGAGCGTCTTTATTATGTTGAACACTTTCACAATTTAGCAGAATGTTCAGTTGAAACAGAGCAAAAAAAGCTCCAAAAAAGGTGAAGATTCTTGATGCCTTCTTTTTGGAAAAAAGTCTGATTATTATTCTTCTTATTTGTTTTCTGTCCTTGCTTTAGGATTTTGTTATGCTTTTATGGATTGATTGATTTACATTGTACTAAAGCCCCGCCCACCTTAGCCCCGCCCCTCAAATAAGCCCCGCCCCTCACCTGAGCAGATGACGTCCTCGCTGGGTCCAGAGGGACAGGTCTTGGGTCTGGAGCGGGGACAGTCCACCAGAGCAGACTCATGGCCCTCACAGTGGAACGTCTGCCCCAGAGAAGAGAGCTCCCCCTGGAGGACAGAAGGACCCCTGCAGCCCAGCTCCCTGCACAGCACCTCTGCTCCCCGCAGGTCCAAGGCCCCTTCACAGACCGAGATCCAGGACCGGTCCCAGATCTGCAGTGATCCAGAGCAGAGACCAGAGCCTCCAACCAGCCGCACAGAGTCTGAGACAGAGAGGACTTCATCACACTCTGGACACAGAGTCTGAGACAGAGAGGTCTTCATCACACTCTGGACACAGAGTCTGAGACAAAGAGGTCTTCATCACACTCTGGACACAGAGTCTGAGACAGAGGACTTCATCACACTCTGGACACAGAGTCTGAGACAGAGAGGTCTTCATCACACTCTGGACACAGAGTCTGAGATACAGAGGTCTTCATCACACTCTGGACACAGAGTCTGAGACACAGAGGTCTTCATCACACTCTGGACACAGAGTCTGAGACACAGAGGTCTTCATCACACTCTGGACACAGAGTCTGAGACACAGAGGTCTTCATCACACTCTGGACACAGAGTCTGAGACAGAGAGGTCTTCATCACACTCTGGACACAGAGTCTGAGACAGAGAGGTCTTCATCACACTCTGGACACAGAGTCTGAGACAGAGGTCTTCATCACACTCTGGACACAGAGTCTGAGACACAGAGGTCTTCATCACACTCTGGACACAGAGTCTGAGACAGAGAGGACTTCATCACACTCTGGACACAGAGTCTGAGACAGATCTCATAAAGACTCAGAGAAAGTATCAGTTTCAGCTGCTGCCTCCTCAGAAGAGTCTCGTGATGTTTTGTGACGTGTTGCTGACTCACAGAACACACTTATGGTGCTGCTCAGAGCTGCAGACTTATTGTGTGGAGGTGTTTAACTCCTGGAGAGTAGAAAGGGTTCTATGAGGGCAGTACAGAAACAGTACGGCACAACTGCAAATCTACCAAGACTCTGCTGATCGAGGACAACACTGATCACAGATGCACACACGAGGCCCATGGTTACTGTGGAGGAGCTGCAGACATCCACAGCTCACTTGGAGATATCTGTACATGGGACAAATATTAGTCCTACACTTCACAGATGTGGTCTTTACAGACAAAGTGTTTACATAAAAACACAAGAAACAAAGACGGACACATCCAACATGTGGAAGAAGGAGCTGTGCTCAGATGAACCATCTGTATCGTCGACGATACCTGCACACATGTTTTACTAAGGATCAATTTACTCGCTTACTTTTTTTTCCTCTGTGAAGTACATATTCAGGGCTGATTTGTCTGTGCGATGCATGGAGGATAAATTACGTTTGTCTGAAAGTCCCTGTCCAATCGGATCTTAGCGGTGACCCGTGAGGTACAAACAGCTGTGAGATACAAACACACGGGGACTGCCAAAGATCGTCAGAGAGTGAGATGTCTCACTCCTCTGTGTGCACTTGTTGTCGCACAGTTGAAACTACAGCTGCAATTGCAAAGGACTATATGCACCGGGAGGCGTGATGTCATTTCCTGTTAACAAAACACAGCCCGTTTACTTCCTGCCTGTGCTATCCTATGGCTTTTAGGTGAGTTTTAGTGACGTTTTTTAGTAATTAGATTGATACATTCAGCTGAGACTGACCCAAAAGTGTCGCTGTGCTTTCTCTCTGAGGTAGAGCTTTGACTGTGGCCACTTAGAGCGATTTTTAAACTTTATAAACACACAATGACAGCACAATCAAAGAGCACTGCTGTGTCCCAAAAATGCCCAGTATCCTCACAGTTTAATTCCCGTTTGAGCATTATTTGGGAAACTCGTGTAAACCACTGCTGAACTCCAGAGAAACTCAAGCTGTTTCCCGCAAACAGGAAGTGAGGAAGTGGTGCGTGCATAGAGCCTATTACCGGCTGAAGAGTGCGCATTATTGATAAAGACTATAATAAATACAGTAAAATGACGTTATGTGTATATGATGTACAGTGCCTTGCGAAAGTATTATTCAACATTTTGCCACATTTCAGGCTACATAAAGATATAAAATTTTAATTTTTTGTCATGAATCAACAAGTGGGACACAATCGTGAAGTGGAACGAAATGTATTGGATAATTTAAACTTTTTTAACAAATAAAAAACTGAAAAGTGGGGCATGCAATATTATTCGGCCCCTTTACTTTCAGTGCAGCAAACTCACTCCAGAAGTTCAGTGAGGATCTTTGAATGATCCAATGTTGTCCTAAATGACTGATGATGATAAATAGAATGTGTGTAACCAAGTCTCCGTATAAATGCACCTGCTCTTTGATAGTCTCAGGGTTCTGTTTAAAGCGCAGAGAGAACCATGAAGACAAAGGAACACACCAGGCAGGTCCGAGATACTGTTGTAGAAAAGTTTAAAGCCGGATTTGGATACAAAAAGATTTCCCAAGCTTTAAGCATCTCAAGGAGCACTGTGCAAGCTATTATATTGAAATGGAAGTATCAGACCACTGCAAATCTACCAAGACCCGGCCGTCCCCCCAAACTTTCATCTCAAACAAGGAGAAGACTGATCAGAGATGCAGCCAAGAGGCCCATGATCACTCTGGATGAACTGCAGATAACTACAGCTGAGGTGGGAAAGTCTGTCCATAGGACAACAATCAGTCGTGCACTGCACAAATCTGGCCTTTATGGAAGAGTGGCAAGAAGAAAGCCATTTCTCAAAGATATCCATAAAAGGTCTCGTTTAAAGTTTGCCACAAGCCACCTGGGAGACACACCAAACATGTGGAAGAAGGTGCTCTGGTCAGAGGAAACCAAAATCGAACTTTTTGGCCACAATGCAAAACGATATGTTTGGCGTAAAAGCAACACAGCTCATCACCCTGAACACACCATCCCCACTGTCAAACATGGTGGTGGCAGCATCATGCTTTGGGCCTGCTTTTCTTCAGCAGGGACAGGGAAGATGGCTAAAATTGATGGGAAGATGGATGGAGCCAAATACAGGACCATTCTGGAAGAAAACCTGTTGGAGTCTGCAAAAGACCTGAGACTGGGACGGAGATTTATCTTCCAACAGGACAATGATCCAAAACATAAAGCCAAATCTACAATGGAATGGTTCACAAATAGACGTATCCAGGTGTTAGAATGGCCAAGTCAAAGTCCAGACCTGAATCCAATCGAGAATCTGTGGAAAGAGCTGAAGACTGCTGTTCACAAACGCTCTCCATCCAACCTCACTGAGCTCCAGCTGTTTTGCAAGGAAGAATGGGCAAGAATTCCAGTCTCTCGATGTGCAAAACTGATAGAGACATACCCAAGAGACTTGCAGCTGTAATTGCAGCAAAAGGTGGCGCTACAAAGTATTAGTGCAAGGGGGCCGAATAATATTGCACGCCCCACTTTTCAGTTTTTTATTTGTTAAAAAAGTTTAAATAATCCAATAAATTTTGTTCCACTTCACGATTGTGTCCCACTTGTTGTTGATTCTTGAAAAAACATTTAATTTTTATATCTTTATGTTTGAAGCCTGAAATGTGGCGAAATGTTGAAAGGTTCAAGGGGGCCGAATACTTTCGCAAGGCACTAAATAAATACATGTATCAGATGTTTTTTTTGTCTTAGTTTCTTATGTTTTACGTTTTTTACAGCTGTGCTACAGAAGCAACCCCAGCATCACAGACAAACTGCTTCAGGAAGGGCATCAGGAGTACAGCGTTTTTGGCTTTTATAGTGGAATTATGTAAAAAGTACAATAGTTAGAGATGCCTTTTTCCCCCATTATCTCCATGACCCAAATAACATTTCTGTGCAGTGTAAAAAGTTGTTCATAGCATTTCATTGTGTTTTTTCTGTCACAAGATGGAAATGCAGGAAGGACCCAAATGCAGGAATGCAAAAAATAATTATTTAATAAAATAAAGTCCAAGGTGATGATCACAAAACTCAAGAATCCAAGGGGAACAGGAACAGGACAGAACTTGACATGACAACACAATGAACCAGCAACAAGGGGAGAGGAGCACAGGGTACACACAGACACACACAGACACACACAGACACAGGTGAAACACATCAGGGCGGGGCAGACAATCAACAGAGAACAAGACAGGAAGCAAAACTGAAATGAAACCCACAGAACCAATGTCAAAAATAAAACAAAATACAGAAATAAAATCCACACCATGACATTTTCAATACATTTTTGTTAAATTGATTTCTGTTTGATTTTTTTCTTTGTCTTCATGACTCCATAAGTTTTATATAATTCATATGACAGCTTTACAATATGAATATTCTAAAACCCCAGGTTGTACTGAAAAAAACAAAGTCTACTGCTTGACTCTGCATCAAACGACTGTTTTATGAACAATTATACACAAAGAAAACCAGACGAGGAAGGATCCCCAAAATGACCCATGTGTTTAGAGGATTAAGACTAAGTCCTGGGTCTACAGCCTCAGTCCTGGGTCTACAGCCTCAGTCCTGGGTCTACAGCCTCAGTCCTGGATCTACAACATCAGTCCTGGGTCTATAGCCTCAGTCCAGCCTCAGTCCTGGGTCTACAGCCTCAGTCCTGATCTACAGCCTCAGTCCAGCCTCAGTCCAGGATCTACAACATCAGTCCTGGGTCTATAGCCTCAGTCCAGCCTCAGTCCTGGGTCTACAGCCTCAGTCCTGATCTACAGCCTCAGTCCTGGGTCTACAGCCTCAGTCCAGCCTCAGTCCTGGATCTACAACATCAGTTCTGGGTCTACAGCCTCAGTCCTGGGTCTACAGCCTCAGTCCTGGGTCTACAGCCTCAGTCCTGGGTCTACAGCCTCAGTCCTGGGTCTACAGCCTCAGTCCTGGATCTACAACATCAGTCCTGGGTCTACAGCCTCAGTCCTGGGTCTACAGCCTCAGTCCTGGGTCTACAGCCTCAGTCCTGGGTCTACAGCCTCAGTCCTGGGTCTACAGCCTCAGTCCTGGGTCTACAGCCTCAGTCCAGCCTCAGTCCTGGGTCTACAGCCTCAGTCCAGCCTCAGTCCTGGATCTAAAGCCTCAGTCCTGGGTCTACAGCCTCAGTCCTGGGTCTACAGCCTCAGTCCTGGGTCTACAGCCTCAGTCCTGGGTCTACAGCCTCAGTCCAGCCAGCTGGATCTACAACATCAGTCCTGGGTCTACAGCCTCAGTCCAGGAGCTACAGCCTCAGTCCTGGGTCTACAGCCTCAGTCTGTCCAGCCTCAGTCCTGGATCTACAAAATCAACCCTGGGTCTAGAGCCTCAGTCCTGGATCTACAGCCTCAGTCCTGGGTCTACAGCCTCAGTCCTGGGTCTACAGCCTCAGTCTTGGGTCTACAGCCTCAGTCCTGGGTCTACAGCCTCAGTCCTGGGTCTACAGCCTCAGTCCTGGGTCTACAGCCTCAGTCCTAGGTCTACAGCCTCAGTCCTGGGTCTACAGCCTCAGTCCTGGTCTACAGCGTCAGTCCTGGGTCTACAGCCTCAGTCCTGGTCTACAGCCTCAGTCCTGTCTACAGCCTCAGTCCTGGGTCTACAGCCTCAGTCCTGGGTCTACAGCCTCAGTCCAGCCTCAGTCCTGGGTCTACAGTCTCAGTCCTGGATCTACAGCCTCAGTCCTGGGTCTACAGCCTCAGTCCTGGATCTACAGCCTCAGTCCTGGGTCTACAGCCTCAGTCCTGGGTCTACAGCCTCAGTCCTGGGTCTACAGCCTCAGTCCTGGATCTACAGCCTCAGTCCTGGGTCTACAGCCTCAGTCCTGGGTCTACAGCCTCAGTCCTGGGTCTACAAGCCTCAGTCCTGGGTCTACAGCCTCAGTCCTGGATCTACAGCCTCAGTCCTGGGTCTACAGCCTCAGTCCTGGATCTACAACCTCAGTCCTGGGTCTACAGCCTCAGTCCTGGGTCTAAATCCTCAGTCCTGGGTCTAAAGCCTCAGTCCTGGGTCTACAGCCTCAGTCCTGGGTCTACAGCCTCAGTCCTGGATCTACAGCCTCAGTCCTGGGTCTACAGCCTCAGTCCTGGGTCTACAGCCTCAGTCCTGGGTCTACAGCCTCAGTCCTGGGTCAACAGCCTCAGTCCTGGGTCTACAGCCTCAGTCCTAGGTCTACAGCCTCAGTCCTGGATCTACAGCCTCAGTCCTGGGTCTACAGCCTCAGTCCTGGGTCTACAACATCAGTCCTGGGTCTACAGCCTCAGTCCTGGGTCTACAGCCTACAGCCTCAGTCCAGCCTCAGTCCTGGGTCTACAGCCTCAGTCCTGGATCTACAGCCTCAGTCCTGGATCTACAGCCTCAGTCCTGGGTCTACAGCCTCAGTCCTGGGTCTACAGCCTCAGTCCAGCCTCAGTCCTGGGTCTACAGCCTCAGTCCTGGGTCTACAGCCTCAGTCCTGGGTCTACAGCCTCAGTCCTGGGTCTACAGCCTCAGTCCTGGGTCTACAGCCTCAGTCCTGATCCACAGGTGTGAGGGATTTGAAGAACAGGAGGAACATTAGTGTCAATAAAACATTTAGTTCAGACTCGGACTCTCACCTGAACACTTCACCTTCAGACCATAGGGCGAGGAGGAGTGAGAGGGTCGAGCACATTCTCTCACTGGAGACCTCCTCACACAGGACCCTGAGACCCTCCACACAGGACTGGAGGGTAAATCAGACACCCATGTGCCATTAACAGCAGATCCACAGTCCAGGTCTCTGCACACAGCTGCTGTCTGCTCCAGGGTCCAGAATTTAGGGTCCCCTTTTCTCCACTGTCCTCTGTGTCTGAGCTCCAGGATCCCAGCACAGCGGCTGGCTCCTCCCTCCAGCCTGAGCGGCTCTGAGCAACAACAAGAGAGAGAGTGAACCCCCGCCCCTTACACAAGCCCCGCCCACCTTAGCCCCGCCCCTCACCTGAGCAGATGACGTCCTCACTGGGTCCAGAGGGACAGGTCTTGGGTCTGGAGCGGGGACAGTCCACCAGAGCAGACTCATGGCCTTCACAGTGGAACGTCTGCCCCAGAGAAGAGAGCTCCCCCTGGAGGACAGAAGGACCCCTGCAGCCCAGCTCCCTGCACAGCACCTCTGCTCCCCGCAGGTCCAAGGCCCCTTCACAGACCGAGATCCAGGACTGGTCCCATATCTGCAGTGATCCAGAGCAGAGACCAGAGCCTCCAACCAGCCGCACAGAGTCTGAGACAGAGAGGTCTTCATCACACTCTGGACACAGAGTCTGAGACACAGAGGTCTTCATCACACTCTGGACACAGAGTCTGAGACACAGAGGTCTTCATCACACTCTGGACACAGTCTGAGACACAGAGGTCTTCATCACACTCTGGACACAGAGTCTGAGACACAGAGGTCTTCATCACACTCTGGACACAGAGCTCCACAGCAGACATCACTGTGAGACATGTGCCATTCAAATAAATACTTTCACTGAGCCCCTGGGGACCCAAGATGTCTGTGCTTTCAGGTCCATGGACTGAAATATTAGCGTGTGTGTGTTTGTATTTTTTTCATCCTTGATTGAGTCCTGGTGTGTGTAATTGTGTCTCTGTTTTGTATTGTATTGTAGCGTGTCCATAAAAAGCTGTGTTGTTCTGTGTGTTTCTCTCCCTGTTGTGTTGTGTGTGTGTTCTGTACTTTCTCCTGTGTGTGACATCATCAGGGACTGTCTTTGATGAAACTGAAGATAGAACGTTCACATGAGTCACTGTCAAACCTGCGCCTCCTTCTGACTCACTGTCAAACCTGCGCCTCCTTCTGACTCAGTGTCAAACCTGCGCCTCCTTCTGACTCAGTGTCAAACCTGCGCCTCCTTCTGACTCACTGTCAAACCTGCGCCTCCTTCTGACTCAGTGTCAGAGCTGCGCCTCCTTCTGACTCAGTGTGAAACCTGCGCCTCCTTCTGACTCACTGTCAAACCTGCGCCTCCTTCTGACTCACTGTCAAACCTGCACCTCCTTCTGACTCACTGTCAAACCTGCGCCTCCTTCTGACTCACTGTCAAACCTGTGCCTCCTTCTGACTCACTGTCAAACCTGCGCCTCCTTCTGACTCAGTGTCAGAGCTGCGCCTCCTTCTGACTCACTGTCAAACCTGCGCCTCCTTCTGACTCACTGTCAAACCTGTGCCTCCTTCTGACTCACTGTCAAACCTGCGCCTCCTTCTGACTCACTGTCAAACCTGTGCCTCCTTCTGACTCACTGTCAAACCTGTGCCTCCTTCTGACTCACTGTCACACCTGCGCCTCCTTCTGACTCACTGTCAAACCTGCGCCTCCTTCTGACTGACGGTCAAACCTGTGCCTCCTTCTGACTCACTGTCAAACCTGCGCCTCCTTCTGACTCACTGTCAAACCTGCGCCTCCTTCTGACTCACTGTCAAACCTGCGCCTCCTTCTGACTCACTGTCAAAACCTGCGCCTCCTTCTGACTCACTGTCAAAACCTGCGCCTCCTTCTGACTCACTGTCAAACCTGTGCCTCCTTCTGACTCAGTGTCAAACCTGCGCCTCCTTCTGACTCACTGTCAAACCTGCGCCTCCTTCTGACTGACGGTCAAACCTGTGCCTCCTTCTGACTCAGTGTCAAACCTGCGCCTCCTTCTGACTCACTGTCAAACCTGCGCCTCCTTCTGACTCACTGTCAAACCTGCGCCTCCTTCTGACTCACTGTCAAAACCTGCGCCTCCTTCTGACTCTATGTCAAACTTGCACCTCCTTCTGACTCACTGTCAAAACTGCGCCTCCTTCTGACTGACCGTCAAACCTGTGCCTCCTTCTGACTCAGTGTCAAACCTGCGCCTCCTTCTGACTCACTGTCAAACCTGCGCCTCCTTCTGACTCACTGTCAAACCTGCGCCTCCTTCTGACTCACTGTCAAACCTGCGCCTCCTTCTGACTCACTGTCAACCCTGCGCCTCCTTCTGACTCACTGTCAAACCTGCGCCTCCTTCTGACTCACTGTCAAACCGGCGCCTCCTTCTGACTCACTGTTGAACCTGCGCCTCCTTCTGACTCACTGTCAAACCGGCGCCTCCTTCTGACTCAGTGTCAAACCTGCGCCTCCTTCTGACTCACTGTCAAACCTGCGCCTCCTTCTGACTGACGGTCAAACCTGTGCCTCCTTCTGACTCAGTGTCAAACCTGCGCCTCCTTCTGACTCACTGTCAACCCTGCGCCTCCTTCTGACTCACTATCAAACCTGCGCCTCCTTCTGACTCAGTGTCAAACCTGCGCCTCCTTCTGACTCTATGTCAAACTTGCACCTCCTTCTGACTGACCGTCGAACCTGCGCCTCCTTCAGTGTCAAACCTGCGCCTCCTTCTGACTCACTGTCAAACCTGCGCCTCCTTCTGACTCACTGTCAAACCTGCGCCTCCTTCTGACTCACTGTCAAACCTGCGCCTCCTTCTGACTCACTGTCAAACCTGCGCCTCCTTCTGACTCACTGTCGAACCTGCGCCTCCTTCTGACTCACTGTCAAACCGGCGCCTCCTTCTGACTCACTGTTGAACCTGCGCCTCCTTCTGACTCACTGTCAAACCGGCGCCTCCTTCTGACTCAGTGTCAAACCTGCGCCTCCTTCTGACTCACTGTCAAACCTGCGCCTCCTTCTGACTCACTGTTAAACCTGCGCCTCCTTCTGACTCACTGTCAAACCTGCACCTCCTCCTGACTCGCTGTCAAACCGGCGCCTCCTTCTGACTCACTGTCAAACCGGCGCCTCCTTCTGACTCACTGTTGAACCTGCCTCTCCTTCTGACTCACTGTCAAACCTGCGCCTCCTCCTGACTCGCTGTTGAACCCGCGCCTCCTTCGGACTCACTGTCAACCCTGCGCCTCCTTCTGACTCACTATCAAACACGCGCCTCCTTCTGCCTCACTGTCAAACCTGCGCCTCCTTCTGACTCAGTGTCAAACCTGCGCCTCCTTCTGACTCAGTGTCAAAGCTGCGCCTCCTTCTGACTCACTGCTGAACCTGCGCCTCCTTCTGACAGTGTTAAACCTGCGCCTCCTTCTAACTCAGTGTCAGAGCTGCGCCTCCTTCTGACTCACTGTCAAACCTGCGCCTCCTTCTGACTCACTGTCAAACCTGCACCTCCTTCTGACTCAGTGTCAAACCTGCGCCTCCTTCTGACTCAGTGTCAAACCTGCGCCTCCTTCTGACTCACCGTCAAACCTGCGCCTCCTTCTGACTCACTGTCGACCCTGCGCCTCCTGACTCACTGCACACCTGTGCCTCCTTCTGACTCACTGTCAAACCTGTGCCTCCTTCTGACTCACTGTCACACATGCGCCTCCTTCTGACTCACTGTCAAACCTGCGCCTCCTTCTGACTCAATGTCACACCTGCGCCTCCTTCTGACTCACTGTCAAAGCTGCGCCTCCTTCTGACTCAGTGTCAAAGCTGCGCCTCCTTCTGACTCAGTGTCAAAGCTGCGCCTCCTTCTGACTCAGTGTCAAAGCTGCGCCTCTTTCTGACTCAGTGTCAAAGCTGCGCCTCCTTCTGACTCACTACCACACCTGCGCCTCCTTATGACTCACTGTCAAACCCATGCCTCCTTCTGACTCAGTGTCAAAGCTGCGCCTCCTTCTGACTCACTACCACACCTGCGCCTCCTTCTGACTCACTGTCAAACCCATGCCTCCTTCTGACTCAGTGTCAAAGCTGCGCCTCCTTCTGATGATGGTGAAGTGATAAATGTTGGTGTGAAAAGGTGAGTGTGTCTGACCTGAGCAGTTGAGATGAAGACTTTGATCAGAGTCAGATGTTTCTTTATCAAAACAGTCGATCAGTTCAGGTTCATCACAGTCTCCTTTGACTTTCACAGCTTTTCGTTCAGGAGTTGGTTTTCTCTCCACAGACAGAGACAGAGCAGAGCCACAGTCCAGCTCAGAGCAGACTCTGGATCCAAACTCCAGAGGAACATAGTCATAATAGTCTGGACCCAGTGGAGTCCAGTCCAGACCTGGTCTCTGCAGCTGCACCTCCCCCTGACAGCGACTGGCTCCTCCCTCCAGCCTCAGACGGTAAGCCCCTGGAACAGGAGACACTGTCAGTGTGTGTGTGTGTGTGTGAGTGTGTGTGTGGGTGTGGGTGAGTGTGTGTGTGTGGGTGGGTGGGTGTGTCTGTGTCTGTGTGTGTGTGTGTTACCCGATGAGTTGTGTGTGTCTCCCAGGACCCCTGCACACAGAGAAGTTGTGTTACAAAATGTCGACTGTGGGTCACATGACACAGGGCGAGAGAGACCAGAGAGAGACCAGAGAGAGAGACCAGAGAGAGAGACCAGAGGGAGAGACCAGAGAGAGAGACCAGAGAGAGAGACCAGAGAGAGACCAGAGAGAGACCAGAGAGAGACCAGAGATAGACCAGAGGAAGACAAGAGAGAGAAAGACCGAAGAGAGACCAGAGAGAGAGACCAGAGAGAGACACCAGAGAGACCAGAGAGAGACCAGAGAGAGAGAGACCAGAGAGAGACCAGAGAGAGACCAGAGAGAGACCAGAGAGTGACCAGAGAGAGTCCAGAGAGAGACCAGAGAGTGACCAGAGAGAGACCAGAGAGAGACCAGAGAGAGAGACCAGAGAGAGACCAGAGAGAGACCAGAGAGTGACCAGAGAGTTACCAGAGAGAGTCCAGAGAGAGACCAGAGAGTGACCAGAGAGTGACCAGAGAGAGACCAGAGAGAGACCAGAGAGATACCAGAGAGAGACCAGAGAGAGACCAGAGAGAGAGAGACCAGAGAGAGAACAGAGAGAGACCAGAGAGAGACCAGAGAGTGACCAGAGAGTGACCAGAGAGAGTCCAGAGAGAGACCAGAGAGTGACCAGAGAGAGACCAGAGAGATACCAGAGAGAAACCAGAGAGAGACACCAGAGAGACTAAAGAGAGACTAAAGAGAGACCAGAGAGAGACCAGAGAGAGACCAGAGGAAGACAAGAGAGAGAAAGACCGAAGAGAGACCAGAGAGACACCAGAGAGAGACACCAGAGAGACTAAAGAGAGACCAGAGAGAGTGACCAGAGGGAGACCAGAGAGAGGCCAGAGAGAGACTAGAGAGAGAGAAACCAGAGGGAGACCAAAAAGAGACCAGAGCGAGACCAGAGAGAGACCAGAGAGAGACCAGAGAGAGAGACCAGAGAGAGAGACCAGAGAGACACCAGAGAGAGACCAGAGAGAAACCAGAGAGAGAAAGACCGAAGAAAGACCAGAGAGAGACCAGAGAGAGACCGGAGAGACCAGGGAGAGACCAGAGAGAGAAAGACCGAAGAAACACCAGAGAGAGACCAGCGAGAGAAAGACCGAAGAAAGACCAGAGAGAGACCAGAGATAGACCAGAGAGAGAAAGACCGAAGAAAGACCAGAGAGAGACCAGAGAGAGACCCAGGGAGAGACCAGAGAGAGACCAGAAAGAAACCAGAGAGAGACCAGAGAGAGAGACCAGAGAGAGACCAGAGAGAGACCATGGAGAGACCAGAGGGAGACCAGAGAAAGACCAGAGAGAGACCAGAGAGAGACCAGAGAGAGCCCAGAGGGAGACCAGAGAGAGACCAGAGAGAGACCATGGAGAGAGAGACCAGAGAGACCTGATAGAGACCAGAGAGAGGCCAGAGAGAGACCGGAGAGAGACCAGAGGGAGAACAGAGGGAGAACCGAGGGAGACCAGAGAGAGACCAGAAAGAGACCGGAGAGAGACTAGAGATAGACCAGAGAGGGACCAGAGAGAGACCGGAGAGAGACCAGTGAGAGGCCAGAGAGACCAGGGAGAGACCAGAGAGAGACCAGAGAGAGACCAGAGAGAGACCAGAGAGAGACCAGAGAGAGACCAGAGAGAGACCAGAGAGAGACCAGAGAGAGACCAGAGAGAGACCAGAGAGCTACCAGAGAGAGACCAGAAAGAAACCAGAGAGAGACCAGAGAGACTTTGAGAGAGACCAGAGAGAGTCCAGCGGGAGAACAGAGGGAGAACAGAGAGAGACCAGAGAGAGACCAGAGAGAGACCAGAGAGAGACCAGATAGAGACCAGAGAGAGACCAGAGAGAGACCAGAGAGAGACCAGAGAGAGACCAGAGAGACCAGAGAGAGACCAGAGAGACACCAGAGAGAGACTTGAGAGAGACCAGAGAGTTACCGGAGAGAGACCAGAGGGAGAACAGAGAGAGACCATGGAGAGACCAGAGGGAGACCAGAGAGAGACCAGAAAGAGACCAGAGAAAGACCAGAGAGAGACCCGAGAGAGGCCAGTGAGAGACCAGAGAGAGACCAGAGAGAGACCAGAGAGAGATAGAGAGACCAGAGAGAGACCAGAGAAAGACCAGAGAGAGACCAGAGAAAGACCAGAGAGAGACCATGGAGAGACCAGAGAAAGTCCAGAGCCCATTCCTCCTTCACTTTCTCTCATTCTGACTGATATGTTTCACAGTCTCTGCTGTCTCCATGGAGACGGCCCCCACCGCCTCCTTTCCTCCTCTGCGGCTCTGAGGCTAAAGCTCGGGGACCTAAATCACCAACAAACAGGGATCTACAAGGTTTACTTTGATTGTTTTTAATCTATTTATTCAAAGCCGACAATAAAAACCTTGTCACATAAAGAGGCAGATTAAAGGGTCTTCAGCTTCAACACAATGTTTTCTAAAATCTACACTTTTTAAAAAGCTCTGGTTCAGAAGCAACTTCTCTGTTTACGTTTGAACCAAACAAAAAGTCTGAAAAATAGAACAAGAGAATTCAAACACTTACCCAGACAGCAAAGGGACAGAAGCAGGACTCTGAGGGCCATGGTCTGGACCAGGACTGGACCAGGTCTGAACCAGGTCTGAACCAGGTCTGAAGCAGGTCTGAAGCAGGTCTGAAGCAGGTCTGAAGCAGGTCTGAAGCAGGTGTGAAGCAGGTCTGAAGCAGGTCTGAACCAGGTCTGAAGCAGGTGTGAAGCAGGTCTGAACCAGGTCTGAAGCAGGTCTGAAGCAGGTCTGAAGCAGGTCTGAAGCAGGTGTGAAGCAGGTCTGAAGCCGGACTAAACCAGGACTAAACCAGGACTAAACCAGGACTGAAGCCGGTCTAAACCAGGACTTGGTCTGGTCTGGGTCTGGTCTCACTGATCGCTGTCTCTTGAACATGTTCTTATCTCGTCATCGTCACTTTTTCTTGTGAAGACGGAAATGTTTTAATCTGATGTAAACGTTTCCACGAACTGCTCAGTCTCTTCCATTTAAAGCTCGGGTCTCTAACTTCTCTGTTTCCATGGTAACAGGTCGTTGGTCCGACAGAAAGGGCCTCGTAAATGTGAAATGTTTGAACAAATCAGACCAGAGAGAGAGACCAGGGAGAGAGACTAGAGAGAGACCAGGGAGAGAGACTAGAGCGAGACCAGAGAGAGAGACTAGAGAGAGACCAGAGAGAGACCAGAGAGAGAGACTAGAGAGAGACCAGAGAGAGACCAGAGAGAGACCAGAGAGAGAGACCAGAGAGAGAGACCAGAGAGAGACTAGAGAGACCAGAGAGAGACCAGAGAGAGACTAGAGAGACCAGAGAGAGACCAGAGAGAGACCAGAGAGAGAGACTAGAGAGAGACCAGAGAGAGACCAGAGAGAGACCAGAGAGAGACCAGAGAGGGACCAGAGAGAGACCAGAGAGAGACCAGAGAGAGAGACTAGAGAGAGACCAGAGAGAGACCAGAGAGAGACCAGAGAGGGAGACCTGAGAGAGACCAGAGAGAGACCAGAGAGAGACCAGAGAGAGACCAGAGAGAGAGAGAGACCAGAGAGAGACCAGAGAAAGTCCTGTGATCAGGATGTTTTTAAATGTGTTATAATTGTTTAAAAAAATAAATAAAAAATAATAAAACAACATCAAAATAGTTCAAATGTAAAAACCATGTCTTTAAATGGTCAATTTGTGTTTGTGTGTATGTTTCTCTGTGTGTGTGTGTGTGTGTGTGTCAGTGTGTGTCTCTGTGTGTGTGTGTGTGTGTGTGTGTGTCTGTGTGTGTGTGTGTGTGTGTGTGTGTGTGTGTGTGTGTGTGTGTGTGTGTCTGTGTGTGTGTGTGTGTGTGTGTGTGTGTGTGTGTGTGTGTGTCTGTGTGTGTGTCTGTGTGTGCGTGTGTGTCTGTGTGTGTGTGTGTCTGTGTTTGTCTGTGTGTGTCTGTGTGTGTGTGTGTGTCTCTGTGTGTGTGTGTGTGTGTGTCTCTGTGTGTGCGTGTGTCTCTGTGTGCGTGTGGGTCTGTGTGTGGGTGTGTGTGTGTGTATGTGTGTGTGTATATGTGTGTGTGTGTGTATATGTGTGTGTGTATCTGTGTGTGTGTCTGTGTGTGTGTCTGTGTGTGTGTGTGTGTGTGTGTGTGTGTGTGTGTGTGTGTCTGTGTATATGTGTGTGTGTGTCTGTGTGTACTTTGAAGAACCTAAAATTCAAAACTTATTTTCAGTAGTTTCATACTTCTTTTTTTCAAACATAATTCCACATGAGTTTATTCATATCAGAGAAGGCCCAGAGGACAGGGCCTTCTCTGTGGTCTTAAACCCAGAGCACAGGGCCTTCTCTGTGGTCTTAAACCCAGAGCACAGGGCCTTCTCTGTGGTCTTAAACCCAGAGCACAGGGCCTTCTCTGTGGTCTTAAACCCAGAGCACAGGGCCTTCTCTGTGGTCTTAAACCCAGAGCACAGGGCCTTCTCTGTGGTCTTAAACCCAGAGCACAGGGCCTTCTCTGTGGTCTTAAACCCAGAGCACAGGGCCTTCTCTGTGGTCTTAAACCCAGAGCACAGGGCCTTCTCTGTGGTCTTAAACCCAGAGCACAGGGCCTTCTCTGTGGTCTTAGCAGTGTTGGGCACGTTACTTTGAAAAAGTAGTTAGTTATAGTTACTAGTTACTTCTCCCAAAAAGTAACTGAGTTACTAACGGAGTTACTCCACTATAAAAGTAACTAGTTACCAGTAAAAGTAACTATTGCGTTACTTTTTCGTTTTGTTCTGGAACATAATGTGCACTCGACGTGCGCATTTTAACCTTTAACCTCAGTGAGTCTGAAATATTGCCAATATTTCCATCTAGAAAAGGCTGTTTTGCTGCTGAAGTCCTGTTCACTCTTCATCTCTCTCTGTGCTGTAAGCACTAAACATAAACACCCGCCACTGTGAATGTGGAAACACCGGTGAAGCACCGACTTCAGCCCAATCAGATGAACATATATATCATATAAATCAACTGGACCTAGAGAGCGGCTTATTTGTTTGGCTACAACAGAATATGTTTTATGCCCGCATTGTTTGTTCATACAAAACGCAAAACTATGAGTTATGGGTCTTACCTTATAAATGACCTGCACAGGCCACTTCGGTTCAGACCAGTTCCATGTTTAAGTCCAGATAATAGTTTGAGCGTAGATATGTAATCCTCCATTTGGAAATGAGTCCAATTAGTTTTAAAAAGCAAAACAAAACGCGTGTGTCCTCCATAAACTCCTGTGTTTTGCTAGCGGCAGCCGGGTGCATCCGATTTCTAAAATCAACCGTCTTACACTTCACCTCTCTTTCTTATCATTCCTATAGTCATTTAAAAATTACCCTAAGTGCATTTTAAATGATCTTAAAATGTGTTATATGTATGTTAGCCAAACCTGTTGATGTCCTTAGCAGATAAACCAGGAAGAGAAAGGAGCTTATTGATGGAATTGTATGCAGCCTTCTGCGCTCACATGCGCTCCTCTGAGGCTGGCCTCACGGTGATACAAGCCGTGGTAGAGTGTGATTAATTTGTTTCATTTGTTTAAAAAACATAATTTATGACCATCCTCTCAACTGTAGACATGTAGATTGTAAAGGAAATATGTTTTACATCAGCCAATAATTGCTGAGAGGTTTTCTCATCCTCCCTTCTCTCATGACAACACGCCCACAAGTCCTATCACGAAGTAAAAAGAGAAGTTCATTGTGCGTCTTGAGTAACGCGCAGTAACGGGATGTCGGAAATGATAACGGCGTTATAGTTACTGTCAAAGTAATTAGTTAGATTACTCGTTACTGAAAAAAGTAACGGCGTTAGTAACGCCGTTATTCCCATCACTGGGTCTTAAACCCAGAGCACAGGGCCTTCTTTGTGGTCTTAAACCCAGAGCACAGGGCCTTCTCTGTGGTCTTAAACCCAGAGCACAGGGCCTTCTCTGTGGTCTTAAACCCAGAGCAAAGGGCCTTCTCTGTGGTCTTAAACCCAGAGCACAGGGCCTTCTCTGTGGTCTTAAACCCAGAGCACAGGGCCTTCTCTGTGGTCTTAAACCCAGAGCACAGGGCCTTCTCTGTGGTCTTAAACCCTGAGCACAGGGCCTTCTCTGTGGTCTTAAACCCTGAGCACAGGGCCTTCTCTGTGGTCTTAAACCCAGAGCACAGGGCCTTCTCTGTGGTCTTAAACCCAGAGCACAGGGCCTTCTCTGTGGTCTTAAACCCAGAGCACAGGCCCTTCTCTGTGGTCTTAAACCCAGAGCCCAGGGCCTTCTCTGTGGTCTTAAACCCAGAGCACAGGGCCTTCTCTGTGGTCTTAAACCCAGAGCACAGGGCCTTCTCTGTGGTCTTAAACCCAGAGCACAGGCCCTTCTCTGTGGTCTTAAACCCAGAGCACAGGCCCTTCTCTGTGGTCTTAAACCCAGAGCACAGGGCCTTCTCTGTGGTCTTAAACCCAGAGCACAGGGCCTTCTCTGTGGTCTTAAACCCAGAGCACAGGGCCTTCTCTGTGGTCTTAAACCCAGAGCACAGGGCCTTCTCTGTGGTCTTAAACCCAGAGCACAGGGCCTTCTCTGTGGTCTTAAACCCAGAGCACAGGGCCTTCTCTGTGGTCTTAAACCCAGAGCACAGGGCCTTCTCTGTGGTCTTAAACCCAGAGCACAGGGCCTTCTCTGTGGTCTTAAACCCAGAGCACAGGGCCTTCTCTGTGGTCTTAACCCCAGAGCACAGGGCCTTCTCTGTGGTCTTAACCCCAGAGCACAGGGCCTTCTCTGTGGTCTTAAACCCAGAGCACAGGGCCTTCTCTGTGGTCTTAAACCCAGAGCACAGGGCCTTCTCTATGGTCTTAAACCCAGAGCACAGGGCCTTCTCTGTGGTCTTAAACCCAGAGCACAGGGCCTTCTCTGTGGTCTTAAACCCAGAGCACAGGGCCTTCTCTGTGGTCTTAAACCCAGAGCACAGGGCCTTCTCTGTGGTCTTAAACCCAGAGCACAGGGCCTTCTCTGTGGTCTTAAACCCAGAGCACAGGGCCTTCTCTGTGGTCTTAAACCCAGAGCACAGGACCTTCTCTGTGGTCTTAAACCCAGAGCACAGGGCCTTCTCTGTGGTCTGCAGGACACACTTCACACAAACAGCCACGAGATCAGACGATAGTCACAGGAAGTCACTCAAAATATTTGTGTGCGTGTGTGTGTGTGTGTGTGTGTGTGTGTGTCTGTGTGCGTGTGTCTGTGTGTGTGCGTTTGTGTGTGTGTGTCTGTGTGTGTGTGTCTGTGTGTGTGTGTGTCTGTGTGCATGTGTGTGTGTGTGTGTGTGTGTGTGTGTGTGTGTGTGTGTGTGTGTGTCTGTGTGCGTGTGTGTGTCTGTGTGCATGTGTGTGTGCACTTGTTTTCAACTCCTGGTGGGTTCCATAACCTGAGATTCCACTCACGTCATGGGGACTGGTTTTACGTGGTGGGGCCCGAACACCGGACCCCACTGGTCCAAGCTTAATAATCAATGGGTAATGCTTTTCTAACGGTCCTTATGCAGTCTCTGTAAAAATATGGAAAGGACCCCTGGAGGTTTACTTTCC